TAATATATCAATGAGGAAATTTTTGTTAAGTAGTACTTTCATTAAGCTATTTGTGCTGAGTAATTTCCCGTGACGTTCTCACAGTGACGTGGAATCTACTTCGCCTGTTAAAGGCTTTCAGTCGGTAAACAGCGGAACTTAAAAGAGTTAAGCAATAGAACATATTTTTCCGAGGTCAAATGATAAAATGATAAAGTGATAAAGTCCCTTCTAAGCTTTCCGAATGTTCTCCCCGCATCCTAAGTGGCTTTAGGACTTTAAAAGTTCGCCCGGAAAAATTCGCTCTATTGCTTATATGACAGAGCTAGTAACATGTGGGCTCTATAACCTGATAAAGCATCCGCTTGCAATATTGGAAACTGCATTAATCAATCAGACTACGTGTACCATGTTATTTATGTGACAATTCCGGTAGAGCGAGGAGAAAAGAGAGGGCTTGTTGGGAAACCCAAGACTAGATACTAGTACAAAAATCTCAACATCGAAACATAGAGCCAGGATATAAACAGTAAGTGATAACTGAGCGCATTTTTTTCAGCGATGTCGGACTGGAATGCAGTTTGAATGGCTTTAGGATTGAAGTTATTAAATACTCTAAAAACGATCTAAGAAAACTCTTTCTAGCTCATTCGATTCTTTCGTTTGATTAGTAACAACTCCAGTTACATGTTTTCGACAAAGATTAGCGAGACAAGCGAATAAAAGGTGTGATAATACGTCTGACGATTTCAAGGCATCGAAGGATGTAGATTGACTATCATCTACCCGCTTACTAACAGTGCTATGCTGCCTAAACCGGCCTACGGCTCTTCTCGTCGCCGGATTGCCAATATATTTTAGGCCTTCCGCAGAGGCAATCAAACTAATTTGATCTATGGCGATACTTTCTTGCACCCAGGGATTTTTTAGAAGCTACAGGAACTGTAAACTATTGAACTGACGAAGAAGAAGCTGAAAATACGATTTGTCTCTGGTGGTAGTCCTGAGTACTTTAACTTGTTTGAAACCCTTTCTTGATCGTAGAAGTCATGGGCTGTTGTTCAAGTTGTTGTTGCGTTGTTAATTTGGAGGAACGAGTTGACGCACGCTTTCAGGATCCAAGCGCTATCATAGCCAAAGAAATTCTGTTGGTTAACCTTCAATATCTGAGGTCCAATGGCTGTTGTCAAATAAAAGGAAACGGAGCTCTTGTTTTGACGGCAGATTTACTTTGGTTTTCTTACCTTTGTCTAAATAGACCGATAGAGATAGATATTAAAACTATTCGTTCAGTTAAAGTTGGGTCGGGGCAAGTCATGCTTGATTTTGTCGACGTGACCACAGGAATCGAGGATCAAGTTGTATTTTTGATAAGAGATGCACAAGTATGGGGAAGATTAATCATAGAAACCGTTCATAAGTCAGCAAATTCAACACAGCCTTCTAATAACACAGCTCATCCCTTAACTGAAATGTGAATTTGTAGTATTTCCGTCGAGTCCTATTGTTTTTGTAATGATCTTTCTTCGATAATACTTACTTAATTCTTATAATCAATAAAACTACTCTGATTTTGCAATGGGGTATTTTTAAAGTTCTTGTACATGTTACTCAAGGCAAACGGGTTTGTTGGCTACAGCTGCTATTTCAGGTACTACTACTTATTATAAACAAACATCCATTTTCAAGAGCTGTCGCGTAAATTTCTGCAGGTTAGACTGAATAGATCTCTCATTGAGTTTGGACCTCAAAGTGCTCAGAGTAGAGTGTTTCGTTGAGAAAAGTATATAATTAGATATGAGTCATGATTGATTGACAATTAAATTCCCTTTTCATTAAGTTCATGATACACTTGGGATTAGTAACCTCTTAAGATCGCGCAACGTGTTAATAGTTCATTTATAGAAGGAATCGTTCCGTGCTAAATTGTTCCCTCACTGACCGGCGTTTCATATGATTTTGCCAACCGAATGCCCAATTGAACTGCCGAGTGATTAGGAATAATCTGCTGGATACGTATGATGCACGATCCTCGCAGTAGAGAGCACTATTTATGCAATAGCGAAATTCAGACCTGAAAAAAATCAGGCCTGTACAGGATTCGAACCACTGACCTCTGCGATACTAGTGCAGCGCTCTACCAATTGAGCTAACAAGCCAACTGGGAGCAGGCCGTTAAGTTGATTCGTAATAAACCCGTGATTTCACATGCAAGTATTGCGATTTTTGTTCTCAGTTAAAGAGGTCATCTGAGTATAATATGGTATATTATCGATAGAAAAAAATCATAAAGAGGATGCGAGATACGTCAGGGGTGTTTTAGGGTAGCTGGTACGTACCGAAAAGTGAAAGGTCTAATTGTGCAAGTCTCCAGCCTAGTGTTAATGTTTTACGCGGATGTCGATTTGCAAGTACCGTTTACATCGCCTATTGCGCTGCACAAAAGGAACAAATTTGTGACATTTCCCAAAGCATTGAGAAATAGGACTCTTTTTGAAACGGTCGAAAAGAGAAGTTGCTTTTTGTTAAATGTAAGAGAAAGCACCAGCCAAAGAAAACGAAGGCAGAAGATTTTGATGAAGCGAAAAAGTCTGACCTTGCTCTTTGCTTTTCGAAATGATTTTTTTGGACTTCCTTTAACCCATTCATTTTCCCCGGTGAGGTTGCGAGATCGATGACCTTTCCTGCGAATTTCTATGAACCTCTTTGTCACGAGACCCGCCAAGGTGTTCATGCTGCTTTTCATTGGTTGGCAGCATGATCGCATGGACATGCACTTTTAATACGAGGTACGAAAGCTGTGAACTTGTTTGGAGGACAAAAACTCGAGATTTGTCAGTGCGCGAGTTACGTCTATGTAAAGGAATAAATAGGGTTTGTAGTTTTGTCAGATTTTGATAAAACTTGTCTAGAATAATCGCCAGATAATAATACACAAAAGAGTGAGAGGCTTTTACGAAATTCGAAATATTTTCCATTTAAGCATAGAGCATTTTGATATAAACCCACCCTTATGAATGCAGAGCCAGATTGGTTTACAATTTCAATGGACGCTAAACCTACCGGCAGCCAATAAGTAATTCCCTTTATTATGTAGATACTGATCAAATACCACGATTTTTCCTTTTACTAAAAAATCATATCCTCATCGCGCGCTTTGAAGATACTAATCTTATCTTTCACGTGTGAGGATATTGGTGTCGCCATGGTTACCAATCTGCTGTTAAGAATATTTCTCTTCTTTATTAGAATTTTGACTTTTTGGAACAGAAAAAATAACTATTATTGTCTTTATTTCTCCTTTAGAACTTTATATCCGAGTTTCATAACATATTTGTGACAGGCATTTTGTGATAGGTGACCACTTTAATTGCACAACTTTGCTGTTTCGAAAATGAATAAAAAAAGTTGTATTTTATGTGGAAATTTCATCAGTATCTATAAAATAAACACCGCCGCCGCGACAGATCCTTACAGCACTCGAAGATAAAATTCGTATCCCCGCGTGGCCATGTAATATCCTCTATTTCTTTCACTATCAACGCAGTTCCTTATCAAGGCCCCTGTGTTATTCTAAAACATGTGATTTTTGGCAATCTGTTTGCCTTGGGTAATTTTCGGATGTTCTTTTTCTTTTTTAAATAAACGCTATTAAATACTTCTACAACAATCACAAATAGCCTACTTATCTTTAGCGCTTTTTCACACGACTCCGGGTTACTTGTTAACGAAGGTTAACTCTTTTGTTGTCAAATTTTTGCCTGGTCACCTCCGCTAGCCAGTTCGCCTTGTCAGTTATTCACCGTCAGTTATTCAGTTATTCACCGCGGGTTTAAATTAATATAAAAAAGCCTTAAAAATTCATTAAAAACAGGTCTCATTGCAAAAGTAATCATCTCGACCGCTGCCGCAAACAGTAACAATACTTCCGTAAAAGTGGAACTCTGTCCATGATACAGTGCGGTTGATCTCCATAGGCATTGATACGACTGATGTCTCCTATTAATGAAGGCTCGCCGCCCTTCATTTTAACCGTCGCTTCGTAAAATGCATCATTTGGCGACGTTGCCAATTGTAAGTGATACATGGTGTTCTTCGCTAAGGTATTAACTGATTTGTCACCGTACGACAATCCACAAGAATCACATTTCTCATCGCGATGTGTCTTTTTAAAGAACTGCAATTTTCCGCTTGGCATGTCCCGATAAGCGTGCGTTATCTCCTTTAAAACAAGCTCGTGGCACAGCTTTCCCAATCCCGAGTGCTTCTGAAACATCAAACTATTTATATGACTAATTATAAGTTCAGCAGATTTCTCTATCAAAGGGTCATCGGTTGAAATTTCTTCAAAGTTCAGACAAGGGCACCAATGTTCTTCAACACCTGCATTTTCGCATGTGCGGTTCTCTTTGTCGATCCTGTTAAACAGGCTTTGGCCAGTTGTTATCCCGCTCGGATAACTTGGATACGAAAGGATGTGACGCAGGGTGGCGTACACGTCAAAGGGAGTGGTGAGTACTTTGGAATTATGGATCAAATTGTTGTATAAATCTGGGTACTTCTCTTTGAACCACTTAGGAAATGTTAGAGACAGAAATGGAAGTCTTTCCTCTAGCTTTCCTTGGATTGTCTTTCTTTGGGCAGCGAATCTAGCTCCATGATCACCAAATATAATTAAAAGAGTATTCGTTGAAAAGGATTCTTCGTCAAACTTTTTTATAAAGCTCTTCAAGTCTTCGTCAGCATAACCTAAGGCACTTTGATCGTCATGGCATAAGTCCATTGCTAGAAGAGAAAACTTCCGCTTATCTTTGTACTCACGATAAAAACTCAAAAGATATTCCAGTGAAATGTTATGGACAGCTTGGCTACCTTGACAATACTTATCACGTACTTTCATGGCCTCCAACCAAAATGGTCTGCCATAATGATCTGAAGGTGGCTCTTTAAACCCGAGAAGACGGTAGGTAAACATGCCAAACTTTGCTGCGTCCTCTGTGAATAAAGTCGCGTATCCCTTTTCTTTGAAATCTTTAAAAATCCACCTCCATTTGTCAACTGACTCGGCATTAGGCTCACTCTTTCTTGCTTCAGGTTGCTCCTTTTCAGGTATTCCAGTGAGTATAGCCGATAACTGGGCTGTTGTTCCATCCCCAACAATTGTCTCTCCTACAAATGAATTATAGTGAGACCGTTAGTTATTGTAGCGAGCTCGAGTTCAATGTTCTGTCGAATACCATCATTAGCTAACATAAATACTAAAATGAGGACGTCACTCAACCTTGTAGAAAAACAGTGGTCGGTTGCTCGTTCAAATACTCCAAAGTGTGAGGCATCTTCCTTCTGAACTGAGCATTGGAAACGGAGTCCAACATAATCAGAGCGACATCGAGTGGAATACCACCAGGCTTTAGAGGTCTTGTTAACACCTCCTCTTTAGGAGACACTTGCATGAGCATGTCCGTTTGAGTTCTTCCCCATGTCCTGCCCACATCCACTCGCACAAAGTCAGTTTTCACTGTTGCTTTTCCGACAAATGTCCCTTAGAGTAAACGGAAAACATTACAAACATTTACGGTATTGCAAGAATAGAAACATTATACATAAACAATAGCGTCCGACTGGCGCGAAAATTTACACGAGCACTGATCTGTTTGTCTACATTGCCCGTTCCGACATGCGAACATTTTGCCGAGTGAAGCTCGAGGAAACTGAACTGTGAGCTACGATAATAAGTTTCCTTCGATTGTTTGTAAACTTATAATGCAGTCCGGCCAAAGTCCCCCGAAAAGTGTTGTGATGCGCATTTCATCATATCCACACGTTAATTTGCGCAATATAAATATTAAATTGTTACTATTATTATTATTAATATTCTCCAACGCATGGGGAAAATGTTAACGAACAACTTGCTATTTGTTGCGAGGGATGTTCACTTTTCGGTGTTCTCTTATACGACTTTATGGACAAATTATCAAGTCCCCTCTTTTGTAATAACCAAACAAAGAAGAGTTTTCCGTATTGGACCTAAGGTTTGACAATTGGGGGATATCACTCGGGGTATATTCGGTCACGTAATGGATTAGGACCAAACGCGCGCATAAAAAAATATTTGATGTATTATAAAGGTGTTATTAACCAAGCGTGAGGTCAAGATGGCATATTGGCCGAGTTGGTTTTTCGCATTTTTATGAACCGAGACGAAGTTGAGGTCCATAAAAATGCCTCGTGTCTGTTCAGTAGTAGATAGCAGAGGACGTTAAAATATGGTAGGAACAAAAAACATGGAACACGAGGTGCAGCCGACTGAGTCCCTGATAATCTTGCTTAATTTTGACGTCTTCGATGACCTTATTTTCACGTTTGTGGCAAAGTTGTTTTTATCTTGATTATGTACCCTAGTAAAATGAAGTGTTTCTTTATGTCGTTTTTGTTATTGTTGTTGCAAACAAGATAAGTATAAGTGTGACATCATAGAGATTTTCCAAGACCAGACATCCGTTACTTGACAGACTTGAGAACAACGGCGAAACATGAAAGACATTTCGTCACACGGTACAATTGATAGACACGCTACGGGTCACATGACAGACAACACAACGGGGAGGGTTACAATGTTGCATGTAATGCGCTTGCTAAACATGCCGGGTAATTGCCGAAAGCACTACTTACTGGAATTACTTGAAAATGGGAGCCATGACTTGAACCTCGACCACTGAAATAAACAAAATATGCAGGGGGAGGAAAGTTAGCCTATTGACTCATTAGCGGGCTGGAGGACAATTACGTCTTAAATTATCATGGTGGGTTTACCTGTAACGAACTCAATCGGATAGCAAATTCAATTTTGTCACACATAGCACTTTGAAGAACAGGATATCAACAACGCATGATGAAAAGTGTTTTCAGATGTGCTTTGGTACTTAAAGTTCTTTCCTCCCTTACGGCAAACATCGTGAGGCGGACAAAACTCACAAATTCCCTAAGGCGAACAAAACCCACTTACTCCCAGGGGCGAACAAAACTCACCAATTCCCTAGGGCGAACAAAATTCACCAATTCCCAGGGGCTAACAAAACTCGCCAATTCCCTGGGGCGAACAAAACCCGCATGTTCTTGCACCTTGAAACTGCGGTAAGTTTTACTGCCAATATTCATAAAAATTTTGCAGTCATAGTTTCAATTTTTAGAAGGGAGGAATTAGTAAGAACAAAACATATTCAAGAACCATAGATCGAAAATATCGAGAATCCGCCTACACTTGCAAAAATTCGCAATAAATTTGATTCTTCCAAATGGACTCTTCCGATGAACCTTTTTCAAAACTGTTATAAAAAAAAATTCATCGTAGTTTACTTTCTCCGAAAAATGGAAAAGTTCCATATACGCCAAGAAAGTCGCTTTTATACGGCTGTGACTAAAAGTGGGAGGGGGATGTAGGACGTTCGCTTTGGAGACGTGGGTCTCAGGGACGTGGGGCTCGGGGACGCCGGAACTCGAAGACTTGGGATGCGAGGAAATCGGGACTCTGTGACGCGCGGGGACTAGCTCAGGGACGTGCGCTGAATCTGTAAAGTATAATTTTCGGTAGCTTCGAGAAAGGTATATTACAACCGCAACAGGTAGACTTTTTTTCCGGAGACGTTCGTAATGTTAGCGACATTACAAAAGTGTTGGTTTTTTTGGTCACGTGACTAATAAACGATGTTAACACATAAGGCAAACGCACGTGATAACATTCCTTCGCATTTCTTCGCTTTTGCTGTCTGTTGTAGATTTTCCGCTTTTGTTTTGTAATACAACATCATCCAGCTAAAAGTGTTCTACACTTCTTTTCCGAAAAATCAATGCGAACTAATTACAACAGATGAAACTGAGACGTCTACCTTTGATGATCTGATCATAGTTAGTACAGGGGGACTAACTATGACCTGATGCGAATCGTAAGGAATAAATGAGAGTGTACAATTTATTCCTGATGAAGAACTGCGGATTCAGTAAAAGGACGATGAGGACACTTTCGTCGCGAAGTAATGGCAACATACATCCGTTGTAGTTAGTTCGCATCACTCTAATTTATTAATTCTTCATCAGGAATAAATTGTAAACACTGGATGAAGAATTAAGGATTCAGCAGAACTCCGGCTGGAGTTCTACTGAATCCGCAATTCTTCATCAGGAATAAATTGTAAACACTGGATGAAGAATTAAGGATTCAGCAGAACTCCAGTCGGAGTTCTACTGAATCCGCAATTCTTCATCAGGAATAAATTGTAGACACTCTTAATTTATTCCTTACGATTCTCATCAGATCATCGAAGGCAGGCACCTCAGTTTCGTCCGTTGTCGCTGACGGCAACTGTTACGTACGTCTTCAGAAAAGCAGTCTACCTGTTTCAGTAGTATAATACCTTTCTCGAGATCGCGAGACCGCCGAAAACTATACTTTACAAATTCAGCGCAAAAATCAGCTGTTGTTTGTTTATCACGTCCCCGAGTCCCACGTCTAGTCACAGCCCTTTTCTTCATTCTTTATAGGAATGCTATCAGCGGATAAATTCTGCGGCTAAAGGTGAAGGAATTGTGCAGCGATCCAAAGTGAAACGGCTTGAGGAGAAATTCCAGAGCAGATGATGGAGAAATTATCTACAAAATGCGGGATTTATAACGCGCACAACTGCACACAAGATGATAACATTCACACGAATGAAGTTGCCTGAACTAGCGGACGATAGGATGGCCTCGAGGTCTTGAGGCCGACAGCAAAGAACACGACGAATTAACACTCTTTCTTGAAGTTAACACAGTACAAAACGGCTCCATTCATATAAAAGTAATTGAGTAACTATAATTTTGCGTAAGACTAGTAATTTGTGTGTGTTAATGATCGCGCGGCTCTTAGCCGAATATACATTAGTTATACGGTATTCTCTCGTAAGAATTTTGCTTTTTAAAGAAATACTCGGCCGTAAGCCGAACCCCCAGTCTTGTCAACGTTTGATCAGTTCTCAGTGTATCTTCGTGCAAAAATCGCTCAGCTTGTAGGTGGTTTGCACGTTACGTCATCGCCGCCATGTTGGTGGACGTAAACAATAGATATCTCATCAGCTTCTTTTGTTCGTCCACCAGCATTTGTTCCTTTCACCATTGTTACCTGTTTCTCTAGAGATTGGTCGCTAACCACCTACAGGAAAATATGTATGGTACATTTCAAGCCGTGCATTTCTCAACCGATCGGCTCTCTCGTATCGTCCAGTACAGCCGGTGATTTGAAAGAAACCGTGCATTCTTTGCTCTTGACAACAATGGCCCTCTTTAAAATTCAACAAGAACTCGGTGCATCAATTGCCGCAACAACACCTAACAACATTCGCAACATAAATTAAAAGACTGATTAGAGTTTGTAAATTCCCGCTCGAAAGATCTAAGACGATGTGCTGATTACAAAATTTATGTTTTTGTTTATGTCCAACCACATCAAAACTTGCTTCAAAACTTTTGCTTCAAAACTTTGTAAGTCTTAAATAAAAGAAATAAGAGCGATATTGATGTAAGATTCGAGAACCCGGCTTGAGAAGACGACAGTATCCAGCTTAAACCTACGGTCACTAAAGTCGACAAAAATTCATGCAACGTACCACTTTCCGTATATTCGAGACCTTTCAAACGACCTGTTTACATTCTGTCCCTTTCC